CCTCCCCCGCGGCTCTCCCCTCCGGCTCGCTCTCTCGCCTCTCGCCGGCGCTGCTCCCCCCTTTCGGAACTCCCTCCCCTCCGCCCCTTCCCGACTCCCTCTCTTGCCGCCCCGGGCTCGCCTCCCCGCACCCCTGCTAGCCCAACCCTCGCCTGCGTCGCCCCAGCCTGGGGCTCCCTTCCCCAGCCCCGCTCGGCCCGCCTCCCCGCCTGGGGACGCAGCCCCGGGACTCACCTGCCGCCTCTGCTCCTCTCGGGCCCTGGCTCTAACCCTGCCCCCTCCCCGGATCCTCACTCTCGCTCTCCGGCCCGCGGGGCTCCACCGCTCTCCTGCCCGGTCGGGGTGCGGGGTGTAGAACCCAGCGCCGGAGCGAGAGTCCCCGGAGCCCTTGGCCCCCAAGGGTTGTAGGGAGAAGTACCCCCTTTGGCGCCCCGAGACCCCTGGAGTGGGGGCTGTCAGCGGGGTGCTGGCTTCCTCTCGTCTACGCCCGGGGAAGGGTTAAGTCACCAGCCACCCCCTCCTGGTCTCTAAGGTGCTTGAGCTGGGGAAGGAGCTCTGCGCAGAAGGTTCCGAACCAAAAGGATGGGGAACGCACCGGGAGCCAGGGTGAAAACATCGAGGGATGCAGAGGGGATGGAAGAAAAATCGGTTAGGCTCTCAGGAGCAAGACCCCTTTGCTGGGGACAGGGGCTGCGAATGTTCTCGGCGGAGCAGCGGGGTGGGCGACCCGGGACTTCAGTCTGACCGGCGCGCCCGCACACCTCCCCGGCGAGAGGCAGACCCCGCCCAGGCTCGCAGACCGCCGCGCGCGGGGGCAGCTGAACTCCTGGGGACGCGACGCGTGCGGGGAGCGAACCTGCAGAGGAGGGATCCGCAGAGTTGAGGCTGCAGCGGTGGCAGGCGAGTCTTCTCCCCACACGCAAGAAGCGGCGGGGCTTCTGTCCCTTGGCGAACTCCTCCTTTCCACTTGGGCAGCCGGAATCCCCAGCTGACCTCCACCCTCCCACGTCCACCGCTGGGTGACACCGTTTATCTCGCAGAAAGGCTGCGTGGCCAGATCGGAATCTTTACCCGGTTACAGGGGAGGCTATAGACGTGAGAAACCGGTGAAAGCTACAAGCCCCGAAGGAGACAAGGTAGAGCAGACAGACTCCTGGTTGGAAAAAGAACAATGTCATTCTTTTGCAAGACTGTGCCCACCAATGACGAAAAACGTCAAGTTATGTTTTTCGATTCCCAAATAGAGTCAGCACCTCTTTCTGCTAGTAAAAAGGACTTGCCTGTGAGGAATTCCTTCGTGCTGGAATTGAAACACGTTTTTCCTCACTTCTGCTCTCAAGAGTAATATAATCGGACGTGCTTTCTAAAATGTGGATCTGGTCCTCTCACTCCCAGTCCCAAAACCCTTTCAGACTCTCTAGGTCACATATAATGTGCTTCCTGATCGCTTCGATTCCTGGGTACTGTCACTCCCCCCCACACCTTCCCCATCCTTTACCCAAGCTTACATGACTAAGACTATCAGTGCAGTTCTTCAGAGAAAACAGCTCAACAGGGTGTGTGTATAAAAGATTTATTTTAAGGAATTGGCTCACAGGACTGTGGGACTGGCAAATCCATCCGAAACCCCTAGGGCAACTCTGGAAACTCAGTTGAGTTGATACTTCAGGCTTGAATTTCATCCTTTCTGGGAAACCTCCGTTTTTGCTCTTAAGACCTTCAGCTGATTATATAAGGCAGTGGTTCTCAACCTTCTGGCCCTTTAAATACAGTTCCTCATGTTGTGACCCCCAACCATAAAATTATTTTCGTTGCTCCTTCATAACTGTAATGTTGCTACTCTTATGAATCGTCATGTAAATATCTGATATGCAGGATGGTCTTAGGCGACCCCTTGAAAGGGTGGTTCGGCCGCCAAAGGGGTCGCGACCCACAGGTTGAGAACCGCTGAATAAGGTCTACCCACATCATTGGTAATCTTTCCTTAAAGTTGACTGGTGGTAGACATTAGCCACAACTACAAAGATACGTTTACAGCAACACCTAAGTAAGTGTTTGATTAGATAACTGGGTACTATAGCCTCGCCTAGTTGACACATAAAACTAACCATCACTGATCTTATCCTTCAGAGTCCCAGTTGTTTGAAAATTTCTCCTGAATCCTGCTTATTTGCTTCCCAGGGCAACCTGTGCTTGTATCTTTGCATCTGTCACATTGTCTGGTCACACTGACTTGGCACTTGTCACATCGTGTCCTGCTTCCTTAAACTAGAATGTAAGCCAGTGGTTCTCAACCTTCTGGCCCTTTAAATACAGTTCCTCATGTTGTGACCCAACCATAAAATTATTTTCGTTGCTACTTCATAACTGTAATGTTGCTACTGTTATGAATCGTAATGTAAATATCTGATATTCAGGATGGTCTTAGGTGGCCCCTGTGAAAGGGTCGTTCGACCGCCAAAGGGGTCGCGACCCACAGGTTGAGAACCGCTGCTAAGCTCAGGGAAGGCATTAGCCATGTCTCTCTATCCCCCATAGTACCCACAATAACCAGTGACTGACGCCAGAAAGGTGTTTAATAGACATCTCAATGAAAGTGTGACCTGGTCTCCCTCCAGGTGCTTAGAACCGGAGTGTCCTACATGTATAGGACATGAGATGAATTTATCACCACAGCATTGTTTTCTACCTTGTTACAGGCTTTTGTTCTCTAGGTGAAATGATCCCAAACACTATGGGTATTCTGTTTTGGGATGTGTATTTTGGTTGTTTGGTTGTTTATTTTACTTTTGCCCTTTTGTTCAACAACTTGGTGATTCTTTTTATGTCCCCTCTGGGTCTTTTGCAAGTTTAACCACGCCTTGCCAAGCTCTGGTCCTCGGTCAAACTGGCTAGTGCTTACTGCAGTGGGAGGTTAATTCTCAGTGTGTATAGTGGGTACTTCCCTTTTCCCAGACTCATGGGATGTAGGACTTGCCACCAATCCCCATGCGGAAATGCCATGTTCCCTCCTTTCCTTCATCAATTCGTATGTAGCAGTTGTCTTCCATGTTCCATTTTGCATTATTCTCACATTAAGCACATATGTAGGCAGTGTGGGGAGGGGTGGATTTGCTTTACAGAAACATTAAAACAAGATTTTAAAAACAAATTTCAAAGTGTAACATTAACAGGGATCACTCCACCAAGCCAGCCTCAGCCTCGCAGATAATTCAAAAGAACCAAGAAACCAGTCATCTAGGCCTGCTTTCCCCTGCAGTCCAGTCCCTGCACAGGCCCCTCAAGTAAGTACTCCTACCCCTTTAAGAGCCTCTGTGCCAAACACATATTTACTCATGGTCTTTGGAGTAAGAGTCAAAAAAGGAAGTAGACTAGTTTGCATATCATTGTAACTGGAGAAACAAGGAAATGGGATGGTTTATCCTGTTTAATTTTATGCCTGCATTACGCAATACATATAAATTCCATCAAAAGTGGAACAGAAAGACTGGGTAGACTCCATTTCTTTTCTGCTGTAGGACACTCGACACCCCTGAACTTTATTTCATATGCTGCCCTCATTCCAGTGCCCTCAGGGCTGTTCATTTTGATTTCTGACTTGGGCCTACTCAAAATTTCATGTTTAAAAAAAAATGAGCATGCCACAGTCTTCCCCATAATTCCAATCAGACCCGGAATTTTGACATCTGAGTGACTTCTGTGGTATCCTAACTCTACCATTTCTGAACCATGTGAGTTTGAGGGAGTCCCTTTAGATCTCTGGCCATCAGTTTCCTCATCTACAAAATAAAGATAATACACTGTCCTCACAAGAGATGGTTGTAAAAATTAAAGTGAAACAATATATATGTCTAATATTGTAGATACCCTAAAGAGTTTTATTCGCTCCTGTGCCTGACCTAACCCATGAACCAGAGGGCTCCTGGCCAAGCAAGACCACCAACAAATTCCAAGTCTATAATAAATCTTGCCATTTCTTTGATATTCTGGATAACAAAATTGCTCAGGTCTAAGATAAGGAAGAATAAATCACACTCATCAACTATTTGTTGAATGCCAACTAGGTGCCAAGCAGGAGTTCTGTGGCTATAATAAGGTTGCTGCCTTCAGTAAGAGGGAAGCTGCTAGGCCTGGCTGTTTTTTCTCAGTGGTTAGAGCACCAGCTGGCAGACTGAAGGGTCCCAGCTCTGATTCCTGGCCAAGGGCACATACTTCAGTTTCAAGTTCAATCCCCGGCCCCGGTCAGGGCAACCAATCTATGTGTCTCTCTCACGTTGATGTTTCTCTCTCTCCCTCCCCGCTCTTCCCTTCCTTTCACTCTGTCTGAAAATCAATGGGGAAAATATCCTCAGGTGAGGATTTATAAAAAAGGTGCTAAATAAATACAAATTTCAAACTTGAATACAAGCAATAAAGAATCCAGGGTACTATGATAGGCTCTAATGTTGGAGGGTAGGGGAAGACCTGACTAAGAGGTTCTAGTTGCCTGCAAACTCGGGGTGGGGGGCAGGGGGGACAACAGGACAGGCAGTACTTCAGTGGAAACTTGACTGCTGTGGTCTGAGGGCACTTACCTTCCCCCTCACAGCTTGTGGCACCCTTCCCTGATTGTGGGTGCAGTGTGT